CGTCGTTGTTGTTTTGGGCCCTCGGTCTAATTGTAAAAATTATTAATTAATTTATAAAATTTGATATTTATTATAATTTTATTTTTAATTTTGAATTTTTTTCATGTCTTAATAAATCATATTTGAATACTTAAAAAAAATAACTCAATAAAATAATTTTTGCCAGTTAATTAAATTAATAATAAAATATATTTAATATTATTAATAATTTACCAATCTATTAATTTAATTAATTATTCATAATTACTCTTTTAAATTATTTTAAAAAATATCTAAATGTGAGATAATTATTTTAGTTTTTTAGATAAAAATAAAATAATTAAAATAAACTTAAAATATTAAAAATTAAATTATAATAAAAATAATACATCTATTTTTAAAAAAAAAAATTCGGCAGACTTAAGTGACGGTGATTTCTGGTCGCTGGACCAATAACATTTTACAGTTTTTAACAATGTTCTTAAATTCTAATTGGTCTTTTTTTTGGATAACAGTGCTTTCATCACTAACTGAGTGTCGACTTCCACACTTTTCAGTCTTCAGATATATAAGACAATATATTGAAGGGTACTGCGATAATCGATTAATTCAGTGAAAAATAGTGAACGAGAATTAGAGAGAACTAAAAAATACTAGCTAACTTGACCCGTGGAATCGGTAACCACTGCACCATATCATGTCCCCTCATCTGCATCAAAAATCATCTTGTCAACATTACACTTCCATTAGCCCAGATCTGGGGCAGCCATCTTCTCTATTCCATATTCCTCTGCCTTGGGTGTGGATCACCCCTTTCACTAATATCTTGTACCTATTTCCACTCTGCCAAAAAAAATTTTTGTTAGATTCACTGGTTTGATAAGTAAATGCCTTACTTTTCTACAATAGTTCATTCTTCTCAATCCATAGACACATAGATTCCTCTACTTCGGACCCAGGCTTTGTCTTGTTAAGTTGCTCAAACTATTTACCACTATCTTGGTGATGTTCTATTTGAATATAAAGTCCCATTAACCCCCAACACCTCTTCGCCTTCTCACATTCGAAGAACACATGCTGGATCCATACCCATCCCACGCTCGATTAGTCTAGTCTTTGTCGATAGGTATTTAACAACATTCTCAAGGTAAAGTTGCAGAAATTCGAAGGGACTTTAGCCTTCTATATCCTCTCTCAAACATTTGATCCCCTCTCCGGATGGTCCCAGTTGTTATACCCTATAGTTGTTGATAAGTCGATTTAAGGTGATGACTCTTATTATTAGATAATTAATTAAAAATATAATTTAATATTATTAATTATTTCTGTCAAAATATCATTGAAAATAAAAAATATATATTACGATCCATATGAACAAATCAAAAAATAAAATATATTTTTAAGTTTTATATTTTAAAATTTGTTCATAATCAACTCTTTACGAATAATTATATTTATTTTAAATAATAAAATAACAAAATCGAGTTTGGATTGAATAATTCGTAAAATCGATTCAGTCCAAATTTATCATAAAATACTTACATTTTAAAGCTTGACTTTTGTTTGGTGAAACATTAACACATATATCTACATATATGTATTGTATATCATTAGGTTGTAAGAGAAAATTATTCTTAGCCAACAACCAAATTGGCAGGTAGGGCTGATTTGGTTATTTTGCTGCCTCAAAAGGTATATGTATATATGTAATATATTACTACAATATGACATATACCTACCCTCTCAACACACACACACACACACATGTTGTATATAGCATTATAGTCAAAAGTCAAACTAAAATTGATACATACCAAAAGCTTAGTCCAATTAGTAAACCATGTATATTATAAGAAAAATAAGATACATGAATTAATCAAATATCATATTTCGAAACATAATATTAATTTTTAATTCATTGATAAAACTGATTAAAACACCGATTCATTAATTTATTAACCCGACAAATAATCGATTCATTGAAGTATTAAGTTAAAAATATGCATGTATATATATGTATATATACACACATATAATAAATATTTCAATCGTTTATCATTATGAACTTTAGTATAAATAAAATAAAATTTAAAATGATTAAATATGATTTTGTTTACCGTTTTTATTGATTTTAAATGACTTTTACATTAATTTGGTACATTTATAATATATCGTATTCACAATTGAATTGATTAGATTATTTAATTTAATTAAAATTTAATAATTATAATTACTGTAAATAAATTATTTAAAAATATTAAAAGGGTAGGTCCGAATGTATGATTGTTATAATTAAAAGAATTTAATTATTATAAAATATTTATTTTATTAAAAAAAAGAATAAATTCACTATAATTTAATCATCATAATTATATCAATATATTAATGTAAATAATTTAGTTAAATAAATCACTTGATATTTAATTATATTATATATGACATGATAGTTTAAGTAGAATAATAATATAAAAAATATTACAATTAATCATTTTTTTAAATGAAAATGTTATTTAACATTTTTAATTTATTGTAATTATTTTAATTAAAAAATTTTAATTATTATAAATATTTATTTTACGTAAAAATGTAATAAATTTACAAAATTTAATTTAATCTTATTAATTATGCTAATCTACTAATAAAATAAATAAATAATTATATTAAATCAAATATTATGTACTAATTACACATACCCGTAATATATACATAAAATAGTAAACTTTATGTTAACTTAGAAGTATATATATTATATTAATTACATATAACGTGTAACGCTAATTAAAACCCTATGATTTCCAACCACCAATTTTGGTTAGGTAGCGAATTGTGGAGATAACGTTTGGTGGGTGGTAGCCTTAAAAATGCTTAATAAAATATTTAAATGATTACGTGTACAAATCAAATTAACATATCCTTAATTTACTATAAAAAAATATTAAAATATGTAGATTAAATGGTCGAAAATACCCTCAGCATTCAGGAATATTCCCAAAAGGTGACCTACTTGATGGGGTATTTACTAAAATACCCCCCCATTTCTCTTTCCCTAACTACCACCTCCACTATTTGTCTCCCTCTCTCTGTCTCCCCCTTTGACTGTTGAAAGGACACCACCACACCAACCCTCTGGCTCTCTCTATCTTAAACCTCCTTTATAAAACCCTTCCCACCATTTCTGTTCTTCCCTCAGGAGCCACCAAGCCTTCTCTCTCTTAAATTTCTTCCAAGAGAAAACGCAGACAGAGAGAGGGAAAATCAAAGAAGAAGAGGACAAAGAAAGCTCCTGTTTCAACAATGGCACTTGCTAATAACGCCTCATCTATTTCCTCTAGATCTCTCTTGAGCAACTCCCTCTCCCAGCCGCGCCACCAACCATCTTTCTCTCTCTACCCCACCAACCAAAACAATAGACCAAGATCTCGGCGCCCGATCAAAGCAGTCCACGCGGCCGAGGTCGCGAAGAAATCTGTTGCGGCGAAGGAATTGACCCCACCCGTTTCGCAAGAGAAAGAAAAATGGACGTTAGATAGCTGGAAATCAAAGAACGCATTGCAATTGCCGGAGTACCCGGATGCGAATGACCTCGAGTCAGTGCTGAAGACGATTGAGGCGTTTCCTCCTATCGTGTTTGCTGGGGAGGCAAGGAGCTTGGAGGAGAAATTAGCAGTGGCGGCTACGGGAAATGCTTTCTTGCTTCAGGGAGGTGATTGTGCTGAGAGTTTCAAGGAATTCAGTGCCAATAATATTAGGGACACTTTCAGGGTGATGTTGCAGATGAGCGTTGTGCTCATGTTTGGAGGCCAAATGCCCATCATCAAGGTTAGATCAAATTTTGGGTTTTGCCCCCTGGAAAAAAAAAATTGATTTTTAGATGATTTTGAATGATGGGTATTGATTAATTTTATCTAGTGGGGCTTTCTTAGATTTATTTTAAGAGTTAAAAAAAAAAAAGTGTAACGTTAGAATATTTGTGAATTAATTTTGTTTGGAATGTTGTCAAGAGAGTAAACTAGAGTGGAAAGGAGGAATTGCTATCGAAATCTTTATACTCTCATCTTTCCTCTCGTTTATTCAATCTTACAAACTGGGGATTGGGAGGGGTTGAGTTTTACTAACCAATCACAACAATTATTTTTTAAAAATTTGAGATATTTTTGTTTTATGTAACAAAAGTTATAGTTTATTTTTACTTTGAGTGTATCTCTTTCAGTTATATATGAAATGGAATTGCAAATAAGTTAGTTCTGGATATGGACTTTAGGTGGGAAGAATGGCTGGCCAATTTGCAAAGCCTAGATCAGACCCATTTGAGGAGAAGGATGGAGTGAAGCTTCCCAGTTACAAAGGGGACAATATCAACGGTGATGCATTTGATGAGAAGTCAAGAATTCCAGACCCACATAGGATGATTAGGGCATATAGCCAATCGGCAGCTACTCTGAACCTTCTCAGAGCGTTTGCCACAGGAGGCTATGCCGCAATGCAAAGAGTTACACAGTGGAATCTTGATTTTGCAGAGCACAGCGAACAAGGAGACAGGTAAGCAATGTTGATTTTTTTTTATCTTCCTGAGCTTAAGAGAGTTTGTATGCGATTCTATATATTAGAAGTTGGCGTTCTTTTGCATGAGATACTTTTTTGGATGCTGCCTATGAGGAATGAATCTATGAAGAGTTGAGCTGGACCAACCAATTTCTAACTTGTGTTTCATTTGGCTTTTGTTTGACAGGTACCATGAATTAGCTAACCGTGTTGATGAGGCCTTAGGATTCATGGCTGCTGCAGGACTCACTGTTGAACACCCAATCATGACAACCACAGATTTCTGGACATCCCATGAGTGTTTGCTTTTGCCTTATGAGCAAGCACTCACTAGGCTGGATTCAACATCTGGCCTATACTATGATTGCTCTGCTCACATGCTTTGGTGTGGTGAGCGTACCCGCCAGCTGGATGGTGCTCATGTGGAATTTCTGAGAGGCATTGCCAATCCTCTTGGCATCAAGGTATTTGGATCATTGTCTTGTTATAAAGTTATTATTTGGAATATTGGCTGATATCTCTCTGGGAAGGGTGACTGTTTTTGGTTCCATTAATATCATTCCAGTACCAAGGGTTATAATGAACATAAATCTTCTATGTTTGGAAAAAAAATATGTTGCATACTAGTAATACTATGTGGTTTATGTGCTTTATTGGCATTACTTTTACTAGATTGTAGAGACAATCTTCTAACTTAATCTCGAACTACATTTCATGAGTTGGTTTTAGATGTTTTATTCTATAGCTTTACTTTCTTGGAAATGTTTCTAATTCAAAAAAGAAAGAAAATTCCAGGGGGTTGATATTTATGTTTAACTGGAGTAGGGTTATTCAAATGTACTTTTATTAGACTGGAGTTTTCCTCAACAAATGTATCAATATCATCAATATGAGAATTTGTAACTTATGAACTATACTAAATGTTGTTTTGGCAAAAAAAAATTGAAGTGGCTAAAAGTGAAACTTGTGATGCAGGTTAGCAACAAAATGGATCCAAATGAGCTAGTGAAGCTTATTGAAATCCTCAATCCTCATAACAAGCCAGGAAGAATAACAGTTATCGTAAGAATGGGTGCTGAGAACATGAGAGTCAAGCTTCCTCACTTGATCAGGGCAGTTTGCAGGGCAGGGCAAATCGTGACCTGGGTTTGTGATCCAATGCATGGAAACACCATTAAGGCACCTTGTGGACTCAAAACGCGCGCTTTTGATGCAATTCTGGTATGACTACTTTCCACCTTCATTTGACTAAGCATCAAATATGTCACAAAATTTTGTCCTTGATGGAACGATGGAGCCTCTGGAAAAACCACAGAGAAATGGGAACAGTATTAGATCTCAATCTTTGTTATCCTTTTTTAATTAAGAAAATGTAGTCTTTATAGAATCAGTTCTCAAAAAAGAAACAGTGGCTCCTCTATGAACATCTTGAGGAGGAATTGGTAGTCTCTAAACCCATATAGAATTCTATGAACAGAGGGGTAAACTTATAGGTTGTAGGAAATGCATTTACAAAAGCTTTGCAGTATCACCACTACCTTCATCAAAGTGCATCTGAAACTATTTTCTCACTTTGGTGATATTATTGTATTTGTTGTAGGCTGAAGTGCGAGCATTCTTTGACGTTCATGAGCAAGAAGGCAGCCATCCTGGAGGCGTCCATCTAGAGATGACGGGCCAAAATGTTACAGAGTGCATTGGAGGATCTCGGACGGTTACCTTCGATGATCTTACCTCACGTTATCACACACATTGTGACCCGAGACTGAATGCTTCTCAGTCTCTTGAACTGGCTTTCATTGTTGCTGAGCGGCTTAGAAGGAGAAGAATTGGAACTCGGCGTCTGCTTTCTCTGAGCTCGTAGGTTGCTTTGGGATTTCTAGATTGGATAGGTTGCTTTGGGATTTCTAGATTGGATTGGTGAAGTTGATCGAGGATCATCAACTGAACACCATGTTGCAGCCACAGGGGAAAGAAGCTTTCTGAGAAAAATCGGATTTTGCTGAGAATTGCTGAATTACCTTATTCCAAATAGCTTTATCCCACCAGATACTATTATAATAGTAAAAGATTAATTCTTTTTATTGTGTATTTGGCTGATGCTGTGTGTTTCTCCTTTGAGAAGCTACAGGGATCCAACATTATAGGATTCTGTCTATCTTTTTTTTTCCAAAGATTCCGCACAATATATTTATTGTGAACGACATTGGCAAATTGGTAGGTTTTTAATGTCTCATATCATCTGTAAGATTTTGACAATCAACAGCCTATAAATTTTTCTCCTTAAATGTTTTTATATTAGAGTTTTTTTTAATATAAATCTCAATCTTTACTGTTTAAATTAAGTATGAAACATCTACTTTGTTAATCAACTAAAAGTTTATAATGCATTCTTTTGCCGTGCTAATTGATATACAAATTGCAAGTCTTCTAACCCAACGTTTCACAACGTCAAATAATATTTTAGAGAAATAGCCACCAATTCGCACCTATTCTTTGTAGAATTTCCATATAATTCCTTTTTTTTTCAGAATTCTAACCTAATTTCCACACAATATATCTAAAATAATTAATATATGTCATCGAAGTACAATTTGCTATATCTAAATTATCATCACTAGATTACGAATTCTTTAAACAAAAAAATTTTAATCCTAACTTTCAAGGTGAAGAATGAATTTGTGATAGTTCAGACACAATAACTTCTGGTCCAATTCTGCATATTAAAACTAATATGAGAATCGGAATTAAAATTGACTGGTGATTGTATGAAAGATGAACCAAAGACGGCATAAGTTGCATGAGCATATGAGATAAAAGAAACATCAAGAACATAGAGCCTAACATCCATATAATCTAAATGACAATAATTGAACTAGGTAAAGTGCTTAGTAGATGAAGTGCATGTTCTGCGTGCTCAAGAAACCTAAAAACGTTCTTTGACAGGTTTAAGTTAGAAGAGGATGTAAACATGCATAAATATTTTAAGGTCTGCGTAGTAGTAACCTCCTAGTAATAGGGCATGTAACGCATGGGCCTCCTGAACCGAGGAATTTTTCTGCAGAGAGAAAATAGCAAAGGATGCCAAACGTAAGTCCAGAAGCTCACAATCAAAACAGCACAAGTGAAAAACTAGACGATGCTTACCCATATCCGTAGGGGGAGTAGAAGTAAGGAGGTATATATGGCCTCCTGAACCGAGAACCCATGTAAGGGTTGAATCGCCTAGGCCTGTACTGCTTCATCCCAGGGACATTGGTCCTTTTGGGCAAAACCTGTGGATTACAATACCACAGAAAAAGTAAACACAAATGGGAATTAAAACTATCTCGAGGATGCTTGCCAGTTGTCATGTACATTTCCGAACTTTCTAAGGCTATATTTGAAATAAATTCATAAATCTTGTGGAATTCTTATCTGAATTGATACTTACATGAAAATATAAATTTCACTACAAGAGGATAAAAATTACACTCGTGGAAATCCAAATTGAATTTAAACAATGAATTCCAAATTCTATTAATCTTAATAAAATTTGGAATGCATTGTTCTAATTTCATGTAAAATTTTATTTATGTCATTTTTTTAATTTTAGAAAGAAATTATGTATCTTTTTATTGAAATAAGTTTAGATTTAGAAATTAATCCCAAACAAAATTAAATTTATTCCGAACATAAACTTAATCTTAATAAAAAAAATCCAGCTACCTTCAGTTGACGGCCATGTAATTCTGATTCGTTCAGTACAAGAGCCTCTTGAACAGCTTCAACTTCAAGGAACTCCACGTAGGCAAAACCCTTTGGTTGGCCATACTTGTCTGTCAGAATAGTAACTCTGTTGACAGTACCACAGGACTGAAAATGCTGCTGCACTTCTTCTGGAGTACATGCATAATCAACCTTCGCAACCAAATTCAAATAAAGTTCGCAAGACAAAAATGTGAGTAATCCAGACCAGTGATATTACTTGTGAAGGCACTAATTTGAAATTTGGTTTTCACAACAAAACCTCTAGACTCATATTAGTGAAGAAAGGTGACACTACAATTCCTTGACATAAACTGCAGTCAGCCTTAATTACACTAGTTGGACACTCTAGAGCTTCCATAATGTTTTGATTTTTTTTTCAAAATATATTTCTTTTTTGTTATGACCATCAGCATGGTTATATATTCCTTGTGTTACAGAAACTCCTCAGACTACTTGCAGTGCACTATGTTGGTCTCCATCAACTATGCACCATTTCACATCCCTTTTTTCAGAAACAAAATGACTTTAAAGACAAAAGGAAGGAGCCACAACCCTGCTACTCTATCTCAGAATACAGATTGCCGACCAACTGTTTCATTCAGCTATTGATTATGAAAGTCTCAGCTAAGAAGCCCTAGCCCAAGAGAAACATACAAAAGAGAGTAAAGCAGAACAAAATAGAAGAGGACAAAATGCAATGCAAAAAAACATGCGGTGAATTCTCTCTCAAAAAAAAGATATGGAATCAAGCATTATTGAGAACCTAGTAGTCTTCTGTTGTTAAAATTGCCAAACTTTATGAGCTAAACTAGTGAATCCTACTTTTGTTGCCAGTAAAAAAATTTCATTTATACCATCTCAACATCATTCATTTCATTAAGATTTTAATAGATACTCGAATATAGAGAAAAAGTTTTATCAAAAAATGGAAAACACTTTGTCCTTTCAATCTCATGCCACATTTTCACACCTGTTTTCATATCATTGTTTTCAGTTTCATCTAGGACATTTTTATGTAGAAATACCTAAATTTGAGAAAGAAAAACTAGGAAAGTTTTAAATTTACCAGCTGGAGCCTAACTTAACACAGTTGCTAAAACTGAAAACATGACCACAATAATATTACGGTGTAATGAGTGAAAGGCATTTTTTTTCCATTCAAATACAAACTAGTGGCATAAGTTTCAAGATAAGATCAAAACTTATTTCTTCTGAAAGTCTGATACAAGGCAACCAAATCCTACATTACAAACTGTTCACTGCCAAGTCAAAAAAAAATTTCTGCCCAGAACAAATTCTGAATTTAGAGAAATGATCAGAAGTGAAGTAACTTTATACCCTAGTAGAAACATGAATGCAAAATGGGATTATAAAATTTTACCAGACAGACACGCATGTTTTTAATTGCCAAAAGAAATTAAACTGAAGAGAAAAATTTGTTATGTTCATCCAGACAGTTAACTTTGACAATCGATCCTGCAAAGTGGTACATATAGAAAGAAGTCCAGAAAGGAAGATGAATAATTGTGTGCGACTCCTTAAAAGTATAAGCTTTACTATGAGAGCATGAACATAAGGTGTGCTCCATTAAAACACTACAAAAAAGAAAATTAAATAAAGACCAAATTCGTTTAAGAAAAATTGATACTTGATAGCAACATGATTTTATTCTTTTGAAACCAATTAGCAGGAAAAACATTTAAGGCCACAAGGTTATTTTAAAAAAAACATTTAAGGCCACAAGGAAGCAACAAGCTCATGCCTCTCACCAAATATGCCATATGACCAGGTTTTCTGAGATTCCAACATCCACTGCCAACAGAAACGAGGCTCTGCACCTTTCACTGGAAGCCTTGAGGCACTGGAAGCAACTCCTCAAATAGACTATATTTCTCCTTTTGCATGCAGAAGTTGAGGCAAATTGCATGCCATGTTCCTTTTAACACAAGATTCTCTTTATAACTCATTTACACTGTTTCTTTTTCAATATTCCATTGTTTCAAAGTATTCTTTCAGTTCCTTTCCTTTCTTTTCTTTTTCTCTTTTTGGTGTTCTTTTTTTCCCTTTTTTCTTTTTCAAAAACATTTCATCAATCCTTTCCTCTTTTTTGCTCATCTTTCACCTTTCTGTCATTTGCTTTTTTTTTTCTTTTTTTTTTTTGCAAGTTCTTTTCAAAACTGAAATATAAATAGAATGTAAGCCCATGCAAAACTACAACAGCATTGACCTCAAACCACAAAATACAGTGTGAATATTCCAGCGCTAATATGCAGGGAACTTGAGAGATAAGCACAACCCTGCGACCATAGTGCGACATTAAGTCAAACCATGATTTTAAAGCTGGGAAGTACCCACAAAGAAGAAAGCAAAATAAAAAGGAAATTAATGTGCACAAAGTTTCTAATTGTAACAGAACCCAACTAGAAAATTTTGCAAACATTATCTCAAATACTAATGGCCCTTCAGCAAATGTTGATACTGACATGATTCTTTGCCCAAGAAACCAACTCTCTTAAGTATGAGCAACAACACAGCTATGGGATAGAGCTACTAAAATCCTAATGTTCAAAAATGTTGTTAAGCTACATTGTGAACGGCATAGCTTATAACACTAAAAGCCATAAACTATTTCTTTTTTAAATTAGATAAAATTAATCAACATTCAAAATTTAAAAGAATGCCAGTATAAAATGATATAAATAATTTTTTTCCCAAAATAAAAAATATGAAAAATCTACCACAAAGATCAATATTTTACCAGTATAAGAATGCCAGTCAAGAATGGTATAGACATAAAAATGCTATATATGAAAGTCTACCACAGAGACCAATATTTTACCAGTATAAGAATGCCAGTGTAAAATGGATATAGACATAAAAATGCTATATATGAAAGTCTACCACAGAGACCAACATTCATGGCTTCATTGGTTTAGTTGCCGACTGAAGTGCTTATAACCTTCTGCGTGTGATGGAAGTTGCATAAAGAAGCTTTTCTAGTTTCCCTGCTAGCTAGTAGAAATTCACGATTCTAATGTGAGTGTTCGAGCATCTCCTAGCACAAGAGGTTCCAGGAATAACAGGGCATCCTGGTTTCACATTTTTGGGACATCACCTTTGTAACCTCGATGATTTTGGTTTCATTATAGATATACTTTTAGATTTGTAAATCTTTTGTACATGGGTGACCTCCCCTTGGTGCCTACTCTAATATATTTTTCTACTCTTTTATCTAAAAAAAAATTTAATATTTACTCTAATTTTACGGTGTTACAAGACTCCATAGAGATCTTAGTGGGAGGTCAAACTGATCTTATTTCACATGCCAAAAGCTTTTTCTAAGTTCTTTTTATTTGGACAAGGATAGCATTAAGTACTCTTGCCACAAATATCATCAAGTCAATCATGTAAATGAAATTAGGAATTTTGTTTTTCATTATTCACAAGTTCATTGACCATGTGATTGACACAAAAGAAAAAAAGAATATTAGAGCCAGCAACACCCAAAAATCTAAATACTCTGGCACATCTTCCAATATCTACATAATTTGAATATAATGAACTGTTAATTGCTAGCTTACCAAGCTATATGTAACAATTTGAAAGCCAATATTATGGTCCTGATTTATGGATCTCGTTATGGAATTTTGTTAAACTATGCGATCGTTAAGAGAGAACCTAATGATACTAGAGTAAGAAAGTATTCAACATTTTTTCATAAGTTTATTCTTACCTAAATATTTGCAAGAAAAGACATCATCTATTTATACAAGAGAATGAATATTTACCTAGAAGTTATTTATAGAGTTAACTACCCCCTTGTCTTTATCTAAACTTATTCTCTGCAAAACATATGTCCGTACTTAACACATCATTATACAGATAACATATACTAACTTATTCTCCCCAATACACTTGTCCACCCACTTGACACCACTTATTCTCACTAAGAGACTATAATATTATCCATAACAGCCAAATGCATACAAATTAATGAACCTAATACATACAACAAGACTATAAACGCAGTCTTTTAAAACCAAAATGAGTTGGAATTCCACTCAAGTAAACCTTGTTTTCTGATTGTAATGAGAAAGAATAAGAGTGGGCAAAATTTGATTTCTCACATTTCCAACAAAAACTGATCGTTGATCTGCCTCCTCCTTGCTTGCCTGATTAGCTGCTGCGCTTGCGGGGTCTGCATACATGATCACAGAAAAAAAGTGAAGCAATTACTCGAATGAAAAGTAACTTCAACAGCAGTAAAACGGAAAAAGATTTTCAACAGCAATAATGCATTTGAATGAAGGAAGGGAATCCAGAACAATACATGATAAGCAATTAACAAAAGCATCAAACAAATACATATTATTCATTCACAGATAAGAATAGTAAAAGTGGTTGCATCTTAGCATTAATGAATATAAACTGAACAGTAGCTGAGTCAGTTGTTGATGAGCTTTGGCCTGGGTGAGGATAGAAGTGGTTAAGGTCAATAGAGGGTGATAGTTTCAGTTCCACTTTCTGGTTTTAGGCTAACCTGGGGGAAACAAAATTGGAGGGCTTTTGAAATGAAAGTGTAATCTTTCAGGGTGAGCATTTGTTAAACGTCATGCTCTAACTGATGGTGAAGAGTTGTCAGACCTAGTACATCTTAATCTTGTAATCAGTTTAATATGAAAAAATTGTATACGAGTATACCCCCTTCATCTTGCAACGAACAATTCATTCTCTATTGAAAAAAAGTAGCATAATCTGTACACAATGAAAAAGAAGTAGCATAATCCATACCCAAGAAGCAAGGAAACAAGAAGGTTCAGTATTATAAGGAATACATTTGCTCCTACTATTTTGGGAAGCAACCTCGTGGAAATTTACATCACTCATTCACTATAACAAACAACATATAAAAATAATAATTTAGTGTAAATGCACGCAAAACCAAGAACCATCCTGCACTCTACAATTCAGTGAATATGCAATTTAGTGAAAGATAAATTTTCAAATTAAGCTCAGAGCCAATTACTAGTATCTCATAGGACCCTAGCACTCAAAACAAGAAGATCAATCTCAAGAAAAAACGCAGGTAAAGTATTGATAGTTAAATGCAATTCAAGTAAGCAAACAGTTCCATCGACTGAACCAACATAACAATAATAGAATAGAAAACGCGTGTTTTTGCCAAATTGAAAGCCCAGAAACCAAACACAAATTACTGACATACTCAACAATAGATCAAGACTATAGGCACCAATCAAATAAAACTATATTTAGGAGGAACATAAATTCCAGAAAAGAAAAACAAAAAACCTTGAACAGCGCCCATCTCCTTCTCGACCTTAGCCTGCATTTCACGAAGAGCAGCAGCCTCCTCCTCCATCTCCTTTAAGCGCTTTTTCATCTCATCTAGCTCCTGCAATTGTCATTCAAATCACACACACAAGCAGACCCAATGTGTAGCACATCTGCTAAGACACTGACCCATTGCATAGTTAGGGTTTTGAATCGATATAAAACACGAGCAAAGGATGGACCTTGACGGCATCTTCGTCTGCGGCAGACATATCGACGTCGCCGTGATGAGCTTCCATATCGCCTTCCATCTCTCCTACGTCAGGGATTTCTCCTCCGTACACCTCATGCTCCTCTTCCTCCATGTTTGGTCTCTCCCCTTTCCTTTACCCGTCCACTTCTATTCTATAAAGGCTCATCAGGCTTCCCAACTTAATATATAGTTGCCATGTTGGTGGCCCGCAGCAAAGCGGCAGATGAACGGAGAAAAAATTCGAAAGGCCCAAAAACAGTAACAAGAGACAAAACGCTGTCGTCTCGGCTCTTTTCCAGCCATTGTTAATTTTACAATCTATACATAAGTATTATTAACAAATTCAGAATTTTGGCATTGCGAGATATTTCAGAATAAATCTTAAAAGTTCTTTGGAAGTAATTAGTATTATGTTTATTTAAGAAAACTAATGGCAAATGGCCTATTAGCTCAGTTGGTTAGAGCGTCGTGCTAATAACGCGAAGGTCGCAGGTTCGAGACCTGCATGGGCCATATTTTTGTCTTTTTTTTTTTTTTTAACTAACGCGAATGTAATAAAACTGCTAATTTCTACTTTACCCTTGTAAAAATGAAAAATTCCCTCGGTAGTATCACTAACGTTCTCGTCGTACTCGCAGACTGGTACTTTAACAAAGGCAACTCGCCGGGTCGCTCGCACGCCTCTCCTGCCCACTGACACCGAGATCACTGTAAAATCTCCTCATTTTCTTCTTATTTATTAATATCTTAAAGTACGTTATTTCCTGCAACAAACATTTTCGCTAAAGAAACTTTCGCCACTGAAATTCGACCACGTCACCGGTATCACTATCAGAAAGCCACGTGTCATACTGTAGTTGAAAGAGTTCGTACCATTTGATAAGATTGCCCGCACTAGATGTCTCTAACCTTCATATAATTGACATTTTTCCGTGAATAATTATCACGCGGCTACGCATTTACACAGAAACACAACTCATCTTCCAGTCTCAGCAGAGAAGGCTATCGTAATCATACTGAGATCTGCCTGACTTGATTTATATACTGAGAAGGGAATCGAGGTGGAGTTTTAGCTCTACGTCTAGAGAAGAGTGTTCGAGTGACTTTACAGTTGGGGAAGTAACGAAGAAGGAAGGAAATGTCAAGTGGAGGAGGATATGGAGATGCATCGCAAAAGATAGATTACGTCTTTAAGGTGGTGCTAATCGGTGACTCGGCGGTAGGCAAGTCTCAGATTCTGGCTCGGTTTGCTAGGAACGAGTTCAGCTTGGACTCCAAAGCCACAATCGGAGTTGAGTTCCAGACTCGCACCATAGTCATCCAGCACAAGAGCGTTAAGGCTCAGATCTGGGACACAGCTGGCCAAGAACGGTACTCGATTTCACATTCCCTCGCGTTCTGACGATTACTGAATTTTTTGCTCGTCTTTTTGTTGGATTTCATTGTTTTGTGAACGCTGTGTATGATACTCTGTTCTGAACTTGAACTTGAGCTGGTAATAATTTCATTAGTTTTTTTTGCCATGTCGAAATACTATTAAATATTGATTGTGGCGAAATTCTATATGATTATGCGTTATCAACTAGTTATCATAATTCTGTATGATTATGTGTTATCAACTAGTTATCATAAATCCACACAGATCAGCTTAGTTGTCAACTCTCATCGTCTCGCTTTTCCTTACAGTGTTCTGTGTGTTTGATGTCCGGTTCGGTGTATATCGTGGATTCTTGTACGAGTTGATCTTGATTCGAGGGGATCTGTATTCAATGTTGGAGATTTGATTTTTTGAAAAAGAGTTTTTGGTTCTATGCACATTTATTATTGTTCAAATGGTTGAAAAGTTGTTCTTATTTCCTGTTTCACTTTTTCTCTTTCCATTTTTTTCAAACGTGGAATTTTAGTGGATTGAATACGAGTATCACTTTTCACTTCTATTTGTGCTTTAAAATGAAAAGAAATGCAGTCGATGTGGTGCGCTTAGTTTTAGCAGATAGAAAAAAAAAATGAAGCAAAAGCAGACAAGGAGGATTAAGTTGCTCCCATATTCTCTTTGTCTGGAGAAAGAAGAGTTTTATTCGTTTGTGTTTCTACTTTCTAAGGCTATTCAATTGTACAAATTTTGAAAGATTAAACTGCCACTGTGTTTCAGGTTGATGCATATATATACAATAGAAATTAGAGTTGGTTTGGCATTGCAACTTGTTGAACATCGTGTTGATTATCATCCTAAAGTCCTGTTATAATCCAAATTAGTATTATCTCCATTATCTTGCGGTCTATCTCCATATTTCCTTCCGAAAGCTCACCTTCTGGTTACTGTGTCTTTATTTGGTAGCAGCAGTATTACTTGTATGATGAGAATCTTTTGGCATGATTGAAATCTATTGGATGCAATTGAACTTTGAGCTCCCTTGCACATTATCTACATCTGTTTAATGCATTATGGGAGGTTCCTTTGCACACTGTTGTTGTATGTTGCAAACACAAATTTCTGAATTTTTATAGCTTGTATGTTGTCAAGTGGAGTGTGTTCACATTGGTCTAAGATGCTCGGAATTTGGGGTTGCTCCCTTCTTCATGTATTTTGTTTGATGTACAAAGCAGGTAAATTAAAATAATTTGCTATGTGCTCGCTCCTGATTCTGTGGGTCTATTTTGTAATATGAGGATTAGTATATGATCCATAACAATGCTAAATGGATATCAAATACCAACTTTTTGTTAGTAATTGATGATTTTCCTTTGTTTTAACATTGATCAGATACAGAGCTGTTACAAGTGCATATTACAGAGGTGCTGTTGGGGCAATGTTGGTTTATGACATCACCAAGCGGCAAACCTTTGACCACATACCTCGGTGGCTGGAAGAGTTACGTAGCCATGCAGATAAGAACATTGTGATCATCTTGATTGGGAACAAGACCGATCTTGAGGATCAGCGGGCAGTCCCCACTGAAGATGCCAAAGAATTTGCTGAGAAGGAAGGATTATTTTTCTTGGAGACATCAGCTCTGGAAGCAACTAATGTTGAGACTGCCTTCTTAACTGTGTTATCGGAGATCTTCAACATTGTGAACAAGAAGAACCTTAGTGCTGGTGATAATCAAGGCAACGGGAACCCTGCATCTCTGGCCGGCAAGAAGATTGTTATTCCAGGCCCTGCACAAGTAATCCCAGAAAAGAGGAATATGTGCTGTAGAGCATCTTGATTTGCTTGGACATTGATTCAGAATGTGATGTGTTGTATTCTGGGTTGACATTGGCAATAGGAAATTCTTTTGAGGTCTGATGTATTTGGTTGTATATTTTGAATTTAGTCTCGGTGTGCAATGCATGAGCTGCTGGATTATTGCATGTTTGCGACAGTACAAAGCCCGTGAAGAAAATGAGTTGACGTTTGAGTTACAGCACTTTTGACGTTTGAGTTACAGCACTTTTGACGTCCTCGGATGTCTTGAATCTTATGTTGCATGATCTCATTTTCTTCAATCAGCTAAAATCAGGAGACTTTAGCCTAAACCCATAAATTAATTCAATTAGCAGCCATTTGGCAGTTTTCCATATCAAGTATCATTTTCAAGCATATGAAGATTATCAAAACAGGTAAGTGCAACTGGGAAGAAGTATTTTTCTATCTCAACGACAGATTCCATTTTTATAATAGCAACTAATAGAATAGTAAATTTTTGCCTGAAATACCGTGGGAGAGTGCTCTCTAAAAAATTTCCTTAACTAAAATTTCTTCGAAGAAAAATTAATAAATTAATTTTAAAATAGGAAACTTATATGAAAAATATTTTTCAATGTATAAAACTGACGACAATTGTTTCATAAAACAATAAAATAAATAAATATTTGAACAAATCGCTGTGGCCTGGAGGCTACGTATTTCAACGTATTTATTGCAATAATAAAGTCTGTTGTTTTATCTCCCACCTGCTACCATATGAATGAAAAGCTCTTTCCTGGAAAATCCTTGGAATTTGCTATTTTTTCCTTACTGGGGAATTCTTTCTTGCTTGAATTCCCTTCCCCAAGTACACAAATCAATAAATCGATTTTATTTAACATTTTTACCTTAGAAATGCTATATAAACTTGTGTCCTTGTAGTTATCAATATCTGAGTTATTGATTTTTTTCCCCTCCTCCAATCCGACACGATGACTTCGCCTGTTGGGCTTGAAAATATGGTGAAAATATGGTAAGACACGAGAAAATATATGAAACCAATTCAAACCACAAAATCATTTCAGTTCATATCAAAAATTGCATTTGCCTACAATGGCAAATCATTTTCCTCCGTGTGTCAGAAACAGAAGAAATCCCTGGTAATTAGAGTACACAAAAATAAATTAAGAACACAATTATACCGACATAAGCTTACCGAACTTCCTGCATCAATCACTTGAAATGCCTAGAAAGTAGCAAATGTTGCTTAGGGTACAACAGAAGATTCTGAAAGCAATGAAAACCTGCTAGCATTTCATCAGTCGGTCATGCTTTCTGCTTCACCGTTACTCGCACTACTACGCACATCCTGCAGTTCATCTGCTTTTCCATTGTTTTCCCGAACAGAGGTGCCCTCTTCCATTTCCATTCGTTTTACAAGTCTTTCTAGCAATTCCTGACAGTCGATTGCTGTGACCATGACACTTAAGCTGGCCCTTCCCTTCCAACAGCCAATGGCTATTGTTGATGAGTCCACTTTGATGGGATCTGACCCTGATTTATCTGCCAGGAAGAAGAAAGATCTTACTGCAAAGTTAGTTGTTCAAATAATTATGCTGCATTTGCTTCAAATTTCATGTAATCGCTAGTCAATTCTTAATTTTAATTGTTTATATCGACCTTAACTCTTAACATGCATAATTAGAGCAAGTTAATCTTGATTTCTAACATGCATAATTAGAACACATTAATCTTGATTCTTAACATGCATAATTAGAACATAAGATAGTTTTGAGTTATGACATGTCCAACTCGAATTTAGATAGTTTTGAGTTATGACATGTCCAACTCGAATTTCTTGATGATAAAATTTAATTCCTACCTCCTAAGTTGGTGGGTGATAAAACATAACAAATTATATTTCACTTATATGTAATTGGACTAACACAGAAATTGGAACAAAAAATTGGGCAGGATTGAATCAAACATAGCATAACAGGCAGCAGATATAGCTACTAACCTTGACGCAAAACAATCACGCAGCAGCCCATCATCAGGTTTGACGCCTTCTCGCCGAACTGCGAATCAACAAATTCTGCAAATTTGATTGTTTTATACTGTAGAAGATGCTTGAAGTCTACCGGTGATGAATACAGGATTTGCTTAGTGATGTAAGGAAGAATAACAGGCAATCCTTCAGAAGATATGCGAAACAAACATGGTACAGAGGTTCCTTCTCTTGATGTTTGCCGCTCCTGGTAATTGGGGAAAAAAAGTAAAGAATTACAAAAATTAAGTTGCTTCCGGTTTCAGCCCCTAAGAAATCTCAATTAAAGCTTTTTCTTCCAAGCTGCATTTTAATTTAATATATCCTGCCTAAGAATCAGTTTATGCATAACAGCCTTATAAATTATGTTCTTACTCGGGCAATAGAGTATGTTTTTCTGTACTAGCTCAAAAGTAGGCATGATCCTATTTTTCATGCCTGTAAAATATATCCTGTGCCAAGATAATTGACGAGGTAACATCTATATCTCCAGAAAAAGGATATACAAAGCAGTATAGGAGAAAAAAATACTTACAAACATTTTCAAACCGACCGAAGATATCTTAAGTTGCTGCCCCACCTGAAGATTCAGTTCAAGAACTTCTTTAACCGACTTTGAAACATAGTAAATTCTCTTTACGTGGTTAGGATCATTGTTTCGTGTGATAAGGTGCCCCTTGAGTGCAAAGGACTCATCAATGCCATAAAAGGTCTTAATGCTGTTCATAATAATTTCATCTTTGAAGAAAACAACAGGATCCACTCCTTTCCACTTGCCTTGCATTTGTTTCTTTCTCTTAGTTCCTGCTGTTCGAGAATCAACTTCTGTGCTAATGGGTGCTTGAGGTTGTTCTAAAACGTGTTCCTCACATTCATTGCACTGCCCAGGTTCCAAAGCTGCCTTTTCTGGTTTATCATCACTTGCATCAGCCTCTGAAGCTGCCTCCGATAATTTACCATCTGGCACATCTTCTGAATCAATCTCTAAGTTGTTGTCTTCAAAAGCTTGATTTGATAAATTTTCAGGTGGTTCATTATTTGGGCTGTCTAACTTCCCCTGTTTATTGATGGATTTCTCTGGAATTGCTGCAGGAAAATATTATGAAAAAGAAATATTTAAAATGCTCGAAAGGACATGAGAACAGAAAGATATAAAGTAGATGGACCACACAGTTGACTCAATCCATACAAAGAAGAAGCTAGTGGCAAGTCAATGCAAGTTGCACAAGGGATGAAGGATTACAGGAAGAGACCCAGCGTTTAACATAACTATTTTTTTTTTTCTGAAATAATGCGTTCAACATAATTATTATGACATCAGTGCTTAGAGCACCCATTTGTATCATAAGCTGCCTACGATAGTTGAAAATGATTATCAAACCAAAATTACCTGGCAAGGATGAAAGCTTTTGAAGGACTGCTATGAAAAATGCTCCAGTGTTCTGATCATGAGGCAGTATTCTCATACAACATTCTAATGGGAAATTGGAAATTTCCTCAACCAAATCATCGCATGAGGCCACAGGCACATCCACTTGCTTAGATCCATCTTCTGAGTTTATATTATCACCATTCTCATGTCTCTGGTTAACATTATTTTGGTCGTCAAAGCCTCTACCAGAAGGAAACATGCTGGGAAGGATCACACTCCTCCGGAATTTTGGCACATCTTTGTAGGAAGCTAACCAGACACCCCGGTCACGTACCTGAATGAGAATGGCTATGAGTTGGGTTCTTAATAAGATATTTCTCTCAAGGCTTCAAATGGTAAAGAAAAGAATTAATAGACTTCCCTATCCAATCACTAACATCAGATTTTTAGTAGTGACATATAAAATATCACAGCTCCATAATAAATTTAAGAAATTAGTGCTCTGAGTTCAAAATTGGAGTCCTAAGCCAGTGAATTCAGGTACTTTGTTCTCTATTTGTTAATATCTACAAGAAATTTGAATACATTCATCTCAATATGTATCAACATATCAAAAACTAAATATCAAAATTGCATAACTCAAAACCATTTAAAGCTAGAACCTCATATCTGTTGTTGTTAGTACATCAGAACTTCAAACAGGAAAGAGAGACATGTTTCTGGAGAAGGTAACAACTGACCTTCCATTTTTTAAGCCCAGGTCTGCATACAAGTTCAGGGAGCTCATTAGAGACATCAACAAGTTCCACTGAACCTCCACATCTCCTCAATATCTGAAGAAAGAAAAAGACAGATTTAGGGGCCACCAACCCTCCACATTGACAAAAAAAGGTAAAATGCTTGTTTCATGACAGAGCAGCAAAACCAAATGACTAGAGGTATCTGGTCTCAAATAAAAAGCATAGCACTTGAGCAGGAAAGAAGGAAACTAGAAATTTTATATTTTGAAATAAAACATAATGCTGAAATGACCCAATATAACTCATCTCAAGGCTAAACTTCAAAGATATAACAATGCAGCATACCTAACACTAAATATAAAACTGCCACTATTTATAATTACATTAAAACCAAAAGAATTTTATCAGTTTAACCCAGGTAAAACCCTAAGTTATGTGAAAGCCACATAAGGGCAGTACTCCGAAGGTAAAACAGCCAGATGATGGGGCAATATTCTTGAAGTTACATCAGAGTAATGTCTCCCAAATGTACAATAGCCAAATGATAGGGCAATATCCAGATCTCTCTTGTGTTTCTGTGTGTTGTGTTTGGGAGTTCTTTTGAGAGAAGCACAAACTATAGAAGTACAAAATGGAGCAGGCTCTCACTCTTAAGGGCTTAATGCTAACTTTGAAGACATTGCAAGGGAATTAAAGATACTCCTAGTCCAATAAAGCACACAGCCCCAACTTCAGTACTCAAACCATATTGCTAAGGGGTTCAATTCTCCAACTTTTAAGTAGCTCCAGAGAACTTCCTGTGGCATTTACATTTTTATTTTCCTACATCCTTCTTGACCATTTTGCTAATTTTTCTTCTTCAAATGTGATCCAGTTCTAACATGCAATCTGTGATAGGTCATAATCTTCTTCCAACAGAGAATGAGAAGGATACCAAAATCGTTCATTTACTAAATCTTTAGGAGAAAAAAGAGCCAATTATGACAAATTTGAGACCCAAGATTAATGTAGCAGACAAGGCCCAAGAAAAAGGTTGAACATTACCTCAGCAACAACAGCCTCATCCTCAACTGGATTCATTGAGCAGGTTGAGTAAACCATTCTCCCTCCAACTTTAAGCAAAGCTAAACCTGAAACAGGCAATAGAAAAGCAATGAGAAAGGTATGGCAGAAGGATTTGAAGCATTTTGAGGATTAAAGTTCAGGCCAAAAACACCAAAATAGAGGAACAGCTCATAGAAAAATAAATATGAGAAAAATGCCAAGGATTTACAAGCATGAGTTCAGCCCTCCAAAGCCTTCTCATCGAGCATTTTCATTTCTCCTTTTTTTAATAGCGTAAAGCAGCAGTTTAATAATTTTTTATAAAAAAGTTGATGGTCCAACCATTTCTAACTAGTTCACCAGCATAACAAGTCTCATGATAAAAGTTGCACATGCTCACAACTATAACTGCGAGTCAGAAGTTAAAACAGGGTGACATGAACAAATCCATTATTGGTTTTCTAGCCACAAGCTGACTGATCCAAATCAAGAGAAAGCTTCACCACCAAATGCATATTTACAAGCTACATAACTTGATCATACAGTGAGCACACATCAGGCTTGGTCTTGTTTGATTGTCAATCCTAAAGAAAACTCAGAAGAGAAAAGCTAAAGGCTGCAAAGAACATATGCCTTAAGAAACAAAAAACAATACCCAAGCAATTTGCTTAGATCGATCCTACCTCGCATAGCAATCAGAACTTGTAGGCTATGGAGCCCATTGCCCATTCCTGAATTCCTGTACAAATCAAATAAAATATCCATCTTGAACGTGATGTGAAACAATAATTTTAATACAAAAGAATGTAATTAGGAAGATATTAAACCATTTTCGCCAGATGTCTGGAGCCTTGCGTAGTGTACCATCTCCACTGCAAGGGACATCACACAAGACCCGGTCAAAAAGAAGTTGGTTGATGCTTGACTTCAGTTCAGTTTTTTCCTCACGTGTGTTAGGGATGCTTTTGTTTGAGCGGCAGCCAGGGAATTGCTGACCATCATGATTGGTGACTATCAGGTTAGCAGTACACATTCTTTTAGTTTGGTGGATGAGAAGATTGCATCTTTGGACATCAGGATCATTTGCTACAACCTAATAAAAATACAAGAACTCCATGTGAGAAAGAAGAGTTATTCACCAATACGTGACAACAACTGCAAGATAATTATCAGGTAGGCTGCAAGCAAAGGACTTACACCATACAAGAATGAAGACAAAATAGTAAAATCTGAAGTAAAGAAGACAAGAATAGGAATAGACAGAGGCAAACAAACCATTCCAGCAGGTAGTGATCCTGGTTTTATTGATTGGTAAATAATCTCGAGCAATTGGAATGTCTTTGAACCAGGTGCTGCACACACTGCACAGAAGTAAAGAAAGTCATGACCATTGCTACATCTCGAGCAACAGGTTTAGGCTGGGGACTATCTATGTGTCAAATCATTATAAAAAGTATAAGATTTCAAACTGATGACAGATTTTCTGACTTGTACTATGAGCACGTTTGAACTCCTTTTTATTTCTTTGATAGAAAAAGAAGTGCACATTTGGAAACTAAGAACAGTCATACTTTATTCAGCTGGACTTCCTATTAGAAATCAAATATACAGAGGTGAAAAATAGCAATATGGCCAGCCTTTTCCTGCCACACCTGAAGTGAATTTTGCATTCTAAAATCAGGGAATGGGCAAGCGCAAGGTGAAACTTCAAGCTTCAACTTGAGCTTCAGGCCATGGCATGGACGGAAGTTCGATATCCTGGGCAATTATTGAGATATAGTTCCCAGCCCAAAGAGACAAGCATAGAGCAAAGTCTAGGTGCAGATAAGCATACACTTACCTGCACAACCCACCCAGACACAGTTCCAGCCCAAACTCAACCCCTTAAACATCCATCTATGGGAACAAAAGCAAGTGTAAAGCGGTTGAAACAAATAGGAGGAGCTTACAGTCAAGTACATAATGTTCTGGACGTACATCAAGGAAGAGAGGAGGCACCTGTGTAACAATGTTATTAAGGTAGAGTAAATTAGTGAGCAAACCTACTAAAATTCAAAACCATCTAAACTGAGATGTAAAGCCTAAGAGGACAGCTTATCCCACCATACTGACAGCCTCCTGTCTGGTTATGTTTCCAATTTCGTTTTCTAGCTTCAAGAACTCGTGGAACCTGACATATGTTTGACCAGCAACTTGGATTAACAGCAAAAATATAAGAAATAATTGCTATTCTTTTTAGATTTCAAAGAAAGAAAAAAGATTAACATAAACAGGGCATCAAGGGAGTCTGTACTCCAACGGTGGCTGCCTAATGAAAAGGTTGCATGTCCAATTGCTAGTAGGTGCCAGTGTTAAACAAACAATCAACAATATAACTAAACCCAAGGCAACTCTGTATTCATCATGAGAGAAAATCCTTTTATTGCAAGGTGGCTCTACTTTTGATATATACCTTCCTTTATGAACTGAATGAGAATAATCTTGAATAGAACATAAATAAAAATCTAGGAGAAAGTTTGATTTTATCGGGAGTTATGGGAGAATTTGATACCGGAATTTGGGCCTTTGCCTGGTACCACAGATCAAGACAAAAAATATAGTCTAAGAAAAGAGAGACAAGAATCTTAAATAACTGCTGGATGTATTGTCTTAAGGCAAAAGACTTATGGTGTCAGGAGTATGAGAAACATTATCAACCTGTCATATTGATATTCCATCCAGACAATTGATATATGATCTTCAGTCATTTGATTAATAAGTTTCTGGTTTCAGCGACAAATCATAAATATGAAGTAAGCATCTGACATACCATAACTTCTAGTTCTAGCTTCAGGAAAAAAAATGCTTAGAAGACAGAAGAAATGCATTATCTAAAATAACACTAGGAAAAAAGGAAAAATAGAAACAGAGATTTGTGAGACGCTAAATTTTGCCTCTCACGTGCATCAAAGATGAGCTACTATCTAGAATACCGGATCCCTTCACAATCAGTTTTATATGTTTTTAACAAACAGTTATTGCATAGTCATTCATTGACAATCATCTGCATTTGGCCAAACTGACTCATTTTTCTGGAATAATTAAGATCCATTGACAGCCAAGTCGTAGGTATCATTGCATCCAAGATATTTCTAGCATTTCTCAGAAAATATGCAACTAACAGTGAAGTGCCAACATCTATCCTGGCCCAAACAATAACCTTTAGAGTTAATAAAAAGCAAAACATCATCATAGAACTAATGAACTACCTCTCAAGGGTCCTATTTTTCCTTATCTGCATACGAGAAAAATTTGAATGCCAAGCAAGTTTCTCTGGGTACCACGGCAATGGCTTAATAGCCTCCACTTCACCCCCCTCAATGGCCTGAAAGAGAAACATTCATGTCACAAATAACTACCAAATCTAGAAGCAAATTATAATGCTTTGCAACCATGAGACATACCTCAGCTTGAAGAGATTTCATAAAGTCATCTTCTAATTGACATCGGATGTCATAGCAAAACTGACTACTGCATAAATTAGAGAAAACGAGGAAAATTGACAATATTAATACTGTTATCCATTGTTGTTCTATGGAGAAAAAGAATTAAAAAGAGAAGACGACTTTCTTTATTCGTGGACCACATGTGTTTTTAACTTCCCCATACAGAATGCATGTCTTTCAACAATAAAATTTAAACAAAAGATTACAGTCTTTAGGTTGAACTATGCAACACACAGACAGAAGTCTTACAACTGCCAAATATTGAGGGGATACCATGAAATGGATCTCCCAGGCATAGTTCAACCACTCAAAAGTTTTTGCTTTACATTTTTCATATGTTTAAGATAAAGAAGCATAGGTCGCCTAATGCAGGTACTAATCTTCATCACTGTAATTCTTTTTTCTTGAAGTAGAAGTTGTGGTAGTGAAGCATTAGAAGCATTACAATTGAATTAACGGAAAGATAATTCTTATAATTGCCAACTGCTTATATCTACAGCTTGTATCATCTAAATCTACTTCGATATATACATGCATATATGTTCTTGGAGTGCTGAGATCATGTTCCGCTGTCTTTTTTTCCATAATTCAGCTCTATCCAGGTAATGATATTACTAGATTTTCCGCTCAGGTTACCACATACGGTACAAAGGATATGGCATGAGTTTTGTCAAACACAATTAGAACATTATACCATAAAATACTGTCCTACAGATGGAGCAAGAGTGGCCCCTCCTGGGTATTCCACTCTAACTGAGAATTATATGCAAACAACCACGACATTATTTTTTATTATAAGCCTTCACTACTGTAAATTGGAGCTCAATTTGGCTGCCCTTATATACTTTTTCCAGTATTAACATTAACATAATTCCAATTCCATTCATTAACAGCCCGGAGGCCGGAATTCATAAGACACTAATCACGCCAAATCCATAAACACTAGTTTTTACGTCTAAAATATGAATAATCCCCAAAAAATATTTAAAAAAAATACCTGGAATTAATCCTGAAAGCTGCAGGCAATGGCTTTCGAAGAATTTCCAGAAAAACATCCCACTCTTCCGGCGCTACTATTCCTTGAGCCTACCATCCCCACATAAAATACAAGCACGTTAAAAATAAGAACTTCAACGACAAAACAAAGCATCCACCACCCGAACAAAAACTTCTGGAATACCCAACTGACCATACTTATGTACAGGAATATACAAAAACACATGTAGTTATGGTACCTTATAGTACTCATCAAAGGCGGCGTTCTGCACAGCAAAAGGCTGCCAGGCAGGATTATCAGTGCCGGGGTTATTGAGATCCAGCGAAGGATCAGATTTGGGCCGTTTCCAAACATCATCTCTCTTGTCTTTAAAATGCTTTCTCTGAGTACGGCCTCTGTTTCTTCCTCTGCTCCCCATTTGCCGCCGCTTTTGAATAAGAAACCTGTTTACTGTTACTCTCCTGCTCGAAGAACAAGACAACAATGAAGATTCCCCCCGCTCCTGATATGGGACGGTTGAGGATGCAAAGGGTTTCCTTCTTTCTCGCCGTTTCTCTCTTGCGCTGCACTTGCTTCCTGAACTCGAAAGTGGAACAATTGGGCTGGACTTGAATTTGTAGAATTTTGGATAAAGCCCGTGAGCCCACGCTTTTGAATTTCGAAGAAAAAACTCTTTTTCTGGGTCGGGTTGAATTTGGGCCGGGCCCCGATATTTCGGATCAATAACTTGATTTAACCGGACTACATTATAATATAATCTTTTGAAAATATATTTTTTAAATCTTTTTTCTTATTATATGATTTTTATTACCTTAGTTGATTAGTCATATTACTTAGCTAAAATTTCATTACTTATAAGCTCCACCTCATCATCACAAAGCAAGGTTGGTGGCATTAGTGTCAAATAAACTTTGCCTATAATAAGATATATATATATATATATATAGATATCCATAGAATGGTATGGTCCAATCCTAAACTTGGTTATGGAAATCTACACGAGGATTGACCCATTAAGAAGAGAGCATTTATTATTTATATTATATTGGTATTTCAAGTATCAATACCAACTACGTAAGCAAGCAATTCTCAAAATAAATACTCATAAAATAAATATATAAATAAATAAATACCCTTTTTGATTTTTTTTTAAATTATATTATGATAAAAAGATAAATCGGGAATATTTTACTTTTAAATGATCGAAGTATTCTTATTTAAAAAAAAATAAAGAAAAATAAGAAGATTTGTTAAATAAAATAAATTAAATAGTATTTATATTTATTTATGAGTTGATGATAATATTCGAAAAAAATTAATAAATTTAATAAAAAATTATCACTCCATAAATGATTATATAATTATATTTTATATAAAAATAAATAAAATTTATTAACGGAATAAATGTATTATATTTTTGAGGCGTTTATATAAATTTAAATTATATTATTTATGACGTGGAAGGGGGGGGGGTGTGGGGGCCTCAATCTTTGTCCCCTCCAAGTTGGACATCGAGAAATGGGGTTAAAAAACATACCAAGTGGAGGGAGTGGACCACCTCAATTGACAAGCCCAGTTTAACTAATTTTTCCACCCCCTCCTTTTTTTTTATATAGATTACCCAAAATACCCCCCGAAAATCCGTCATCGCTAACGAGGTGACGGAGGGTATTTTGGTATTTTTATATTAGCAAGATGGACGTTACGTTGCCTTCCACTCTCACAGGTCTTGTTGGGTGGCACCAAGACCAAAATTAATGTCGAAGATATTTTTTTTATTTGTATGTCATAATGTAATTTACTTACAATTTTTATATTTGAAATTTCAAATTTATGGCAAATATATTAACTATTAAATTCGACGTATTGAATCGTTTAAAATTTTGTAATCGATACGAAAATGGGTTTTTTTAAAAAAAATTGTAATTGTTAGATTCGGAAAATTGTATTAGATATAAGTAAAATTATATTTACTTATAATTGAGACACTTTTTACAACAATCGAGTGAGAGCGTTATTAGTTATGAGTAACTTTTTCCGACCCAAATTACTGTCTAATGCTAAGTTTAAGTTGATTATATAAATAATATATGAATGTTATTGTGTGTGTGTGTATGTATATATAGAGATATGTATAGAGGGAATTGGGAATTGTAGACGCATGATTTTAAACAAAGACAACCCCACTGGCTCTCTCTCTCTCTCTCTATCTCTTTCAGTTAAACATCCCTCTCACTTGCTTATTCCACAAATTGCCTCCTCCCCCCACAACCAAAATACCTGTTTTTGTCCCTTACACCCTCCTTTTTTACATATATGAATTTATATATATATATATGTATATGTATATGTATATGTATGTATTGAAGTAATTTGCATTCAATATATAAATTATATGAACAGAAGAAAAAGAAAAGAGACAGATTGTATAAATACATACGCCAAGTCCCACAAAGAAAATACTCTAATTGGATAAATTTCACCCCACTACTGCCAAAAGAAGCAAAGGCAAGAAAAAAGAAAAAAATGCTTCCTCTTCCTCTGCTCCTCGTCTTCCTCTTTCCTTTCACCGTAGCCGACCCAGCAGTTCTTCAGCCCGGATTTTACAGAGATTCATGCCCACAAGCTGAGACCATTGTCAGAGATGTCATGAGGACAGCACTGATCAGAGAACCCAGAAGCGTTGCATCTGTCATGCGTTTCCAGTTCCATGATTGCTTTGTAAATGTAAACGAAAAAAGAAAAGAACCCTCTTTTTTTCCATGGGAAATTAGCTGTGTATCTCCATTTTAACGCACTTTTTATCGGGAAGGTTTTCGTGGGTCTTTTTCGGTTTGCTCGTTAAAATCAGTCCGGCTGATATCTGGTTCTCTCTCTCTTTTTTTTTTTTTTTTTGTGAAGGGTTGTGATGCGTCTCTACTGCTAGATGATACGCCAACAATGGTGGGCGAGAAGCTTTCTCTCTCTAATATAAACTCGCTGAGATCTTTTGAAGTCGTCGATGAGCTCAAGGACGCGTTGGAGAAGGTTTGCCCAGGAACAGTTTCTTGCGCAGACATCATAATCATGGCGGCCAGAGACGCCGTTGCTCTGGTAAATTTGTTCATTAACACCTCTGAATTCGATCTCCATTAGCTTTTTATTGACCCAGCTAAGCTAACATTCACACACACACACACACACTCATATATATAGATATATATATATATATATCTATGTATGTATATATGCATCCAAACTTTACACTGAGACACGCTCTTGTTGGCTTTGAGGAATGAACGCCGGGTATTCAGACAAGTGTATCCTTTTTATGCAGGCTTTATCGAGCAGGCCGATTCCTGAACTTATTCTGTTTGCCTCAATGATACCAGTCTTTGGTTTTTGCTCTCTGTTTAATTTTTCGAAAAGAAAGATTGAATAGGATAATGGGTATTGAAAAAATGCACGCCTTGTATATTATATTATACAAGTCCCTAGGCTTAACATTAGTACTTTGACTGGTTTGTGGCCCTTGTATCGGGTTTATCTGGTATTCAGAAAGGGTTTTCTTCTTGCGTGAAAGAGCAGTGACCATTTTTTCTACTATTGAATAATTCAATTTCGCTTTAAATGGATTTGTCCACTAGCAAGCAATTTTTTATTTGTTTTTCTGAAAGGAAGCTAGTATGTGAATAGCAAAGCCTGCTAAAAAAGAAAGTTCAATATCTCTGTTCCTATTAGTTAGTGGCAACTTGTGAATGAGGTAAACTCAATTCAAGGATTTGTATAGGGCTATAGACAAGACTTGAAACACAGAATTCTGATTAGTACTTAGTACTTTTCCTGCAAAGTAGATGATCTGGGTGGGGTTTATGCTTGGTAATCAATTGGTCTTCTTTTGTAATGTACTGAACAAGGTGAGGATTCTGGTTGTTGTTGAACCAGAGTGGAGGACCAGATTGGGAGGTGAAGCTAGGAAGGAAAGATAGCTTAACTGCAAGCCAGAAAGACTCAGATGACATTATGCCAAGTCCAAGAGCAAATGCATCTTTTCTCATAAACTTGTTTGATAAATTCAGTCTATCTGTCAAGGACCTTGTAGCACTTTCCGGGTCACACTCCATTGGCCAAGGGAGGTGCTTTTCAATCATGTTCAGGCTCTACAATCAATCCGGCTCGGGCAAACCTGACCCAGCCCTTGACCCAAAATACAGAGAGAAGCTTGACAGGCTATGTCCACTCGGTGGGGATGAGAATGTGACCGGAGATCTTGATGCCACACCGCAAGTTTTTGACAACCAATATTTCAAGGACTTGGTTGCAGGGAGAGGATTCCTTAATTCAGATGAAACGCTCTATACTTTCCCGGATACAAGAGCGTATGTCGGGATTTTTAGCAGAGATCAAGATGAGTTCTTCAAGGCCTTTGTTGAAGGAATGATTAAGATGGGTGACTTGCAATCAGGACGGCCTGGGGAGATCAGATACAACTGCAGGGTTGTCAATGGCAGGCCTGTTGATATATTGCTCGAGTCTTGATGATGAAGTAGAAACAAGACAAGTCATAGGAAAAGTTTAAGCAAGAAAACAGGACAGAAAAATTTGAGAATGAAGAGTGCGACATATAGAGAATAAGGCTAAGATGAGCTAT